AAAACCCTTTCTTCTCAAAGCGAGAAATAATCTCTCCAACCTATATGCATCAGATACAGTATGTTTTATCTGAACTGAAACACGAAAGAAGCTAAGGAAGAGCACCATACTGGGAAAGTGTGGGTGTGGGGAACTGGGGAATGCATACCAGACCACGCTGAACACCATCTGGTTTGATCATAATGTAGCTTTGCTCAACCTCCTACAGATTGCAAGTTCTTGTTAAGCAAGGTCTCATTATGGATAAGTAAAGAACCAGATGAAAGTGGAGTGCTCAACTTCTCATAATTGAGGTCACAGGATATCAGCATCATCAAAAAGTTTCAAACATTTTACGAATTCTAAACTTCTTTGTAGAAAACAAAAGGTTGATTGAGTTTCATAGAACGAAAGGATAAGTGTCCTACAATCCTCTGGTAAAGTATGCCATACAGATGGCAACAGAAATAAGACATTCTGTAAATGATAAAGCCGCAGATAAACAACTATTTATCCAATCTGAAATCATATTTCCATGTGTGCCTTTATAGAGTTCAACGACAAATCTGAAATTGTTCCCTAAATGAATCACTGATGACCTGAATCTGGAATTTCAGCATCAACAGGAATTGGTGGAAGGACTAGATTAGGTTGTCATCTTTAGAAAAATAACTCAGTTGCCTTCGCTATGTTTTGAAGATCTGCAAACACAACAAAATTAACTAATTTGGAAGCATTTGGAATTCCACAATGTATCACTAAGATGTGCAAAATTAATTTAATTTAATTTAATTAGCACATATCATGTTTCAGTTGAAAAATAGGTTGGCAGAGAAAAACTTGCTTCCATTGTACTCCCTCCATCCCAAAAAGAATGCAATTCTAGGTTTAGAGCAAGTCAAACTTTTTTAAGATTGACCACTTTTATAGAAAATAACATCAACATTTATATCGCCAAATAAAATTAATATAAAAATATATTCCATGATAAATCTAATGATACTTATTTGGTATCATAAATGTTAGTATTTTTTTATAAATACTTGGTCAAACTGAAAATTGGTTGACTCCTCCAGAAGTGAGAATTGCATTTTTTCTTTTTTGGATGGAGGGAGCAAATTTACTGCAAGTATCCACTTTCCATCACATGGTTGGATAATTTCAGTAACCCTGTGTCAGTCCACAGGTATCCTTGCATTCGTCAGATCAGAAGAAAGCAAGGTGAAACTTTGACCGGGAACAAGGAGAACATTACACTGGGGCCACACAAGGTCCAACACATGATGAGGCCGAAGTAGAAGATGAATCCACTCAAAAAGTTGATATTGGGGACGAAAACGTCGGTCCTCTTGATAATTTACAAAATGGAACATGTTTGAATGGTGCACTTTCAGCATTGACTGCGACAGGAAGCCAAGCTCAGTTTCACCTAATTCCTAATTCCTGGCAGAATAATCGTAAAGAATTCAAGAATCGAGGCTAAAATCCTAGGCGAAAAAAAATGTCACATTGCGCAGTGCATTTTCCTTTAGTTCAGCTGCTCTGCATAACCTACCCACGAGGCACTAGATTATAACCCGAAAGGTAAGAGAATATGAAGTACTCCCTCCATCCCAAATTGTAAGTCATTCTAAGAATCTTGGAGAGTCAAAGTTTTTCAAGTTTGACCAAATTTATATAACAAAATAATAATATTTATCATACCAAGTAAGTATCATTAGATTCTTCATTAGTTATATTTTCATATTATACCTATTTGATGTCATCAATCTTTGTGTTTCTCTCTATAATTTTAGTCAAACTTAAAAAAGTTTGACTCTCCAAGATTCTTGGAATGACTTACAATTTGGGATCGAGGGAGTAGTAGTTTCTAGTTAGCCTGTTCGAAACAAATTCTCCATATTCAAGCTCATCCAATACCAAAAGATCAAGCAAAGCTACCAAAACCATAAACAAATAAAAAATTGCTCTCCGAGACGGCCCTAATCCTCGAACACATGAGCAAAAAGAAAAGCAGCAAAATCAAAATCAACTCTTCTCTTCACCATTTCAGCGACCCTCGAGTTAATGCAAGTACCCAATCAGACCAAGTATGCAGGGGGACCAACCGAGGAGGCGACGATTTTGCGCCGCGGGACAGCGCGAGCCCTGGCCGCCCTCCCGCTCCCCGGCGACGCCGTGCTCAGCCCCAGCCCGAGCCGGCCGCGGGGCGTCGTGGAAAAGGCGGCGAAGGAGAGGGACGCCGTCGGCCGCAGCGCGCAGGAGGGCCGGCGAGTGGACCCGGAGAGGGGCGGCGCCGTCCTCGCGAGCGCGGCCGTGGGCTCCATCCCTTTCCACGAGTCCGTGCGAGGCGAGCAGAGCACGCGAGTTGTGGATTAGGACTTTCGGAGAGAAGCTAACTACCAGCACAGCACAAGGCGCCCTTATGCTCAAAAAAAAAAGCACAAGGCGCCCTTGCTTAAAGTACGGCCAGAAAGCCGCTTCACCTGTACATTTACGTATATACAGTTTACGTTTACAGGACCCGAATCAAGAGTACAGTATTTGTAAGCATATAGGAGTGTTTGGTTGAATGCCGCAGCTTACCACGCCATGAATTTGGTGTGGTGTAACCATTTAGGAACTTATTTGATTTTTCTTGAAGAGGAGAACTAATTTGATTTGCTTACACGGTTTGATGAGCCACGAAATGCAAGACGTGCGATATGTGCATCGCCACGTCGTTTCCTGACTAAGTATGGCGTGCCATAGCAATGACAGGAACCAAACAGCTGCTGAAGAAAATGTGGCATGATTAAACTTTGACGGGGCAAGTTTTGGTCACCAACCAAACAGACCCTAAAAGTGTGAACGATTCATAAACGCACCTTCGGCACAAGCTGCACATGTAGCAGAAGAGGAGCTCCAATCGCCACCCAAGTCCCGAAGCAAGAAAAACACCAGGAAGGGCGAGGCAGAGAGCACATGAGTGAGCTCAATAAACACTTGCAATAATATAGAGCCCAACATCGAAGAAGACCACCAGCCATGCTTGGGCGAAATCGAGAGTGGTATGGCCTCGTTTTAAGAAAGATCCAACTTATTTCTGAAAAAATGAAGACCTCAAAAGATATGGTATGATCATGAGTGATTGATTTTTGTTGGAGTTTCTCACTGGTCAGAACAATTATGTGGCGATGACTCCGGACCTCTAGTTGAGTGATGCAGCAAGGACGGGAGATGGTGGATGGGTGCATGCGGTTGCGCAACCCAACGCGGATAGTTAGATGAGCTAACTAAATAAAGCATTTGGTTGGCATATAATAATATAAAATATCAAGGGTGATAATAATACAAAATATAAAGGGTGATTGGTATATAATTACATAACCTAATGGTGCTGGCGCCTAGGGCATCTAAAATGGTAACACCACCGCTTCATGCATTAAAGGTGAACATAATCTATATATAGTTTAGATGTGAATCATTCATTTGCCATATATATAAGGCACATTTGGCTCCTTTGTCGGTTTTACTTGTGTCGCCTCGCTCAGCGAGGCAAGCTTTGCTAGCATGGGTGAACCAATCTGGCTCCCCCCACCCCCACCCCCACCCCACCAGTAATTAAAACCTTGCTAGCGAAAAGGTGCACCGGGGAGCCTAACGCTAGTTTTTTGTCCTAGAACCAAAAACACACCCATATATTTGATAGACTTGTGACACTTTTGTGTGGCCGTGATCCAAACAACATCTCTATTTCTTAAAAAAAAACACATCTCCATTTAATAATAAGCTACATTTTGCCGTAGGCGTGGCAACCAACCAAATAGTTTCATTCAGTCAAGAGTAAGACATCTTACAATTTGCGCTACATGCCTGCCTGATTAATCAGTGGATCGTCAACCAAACAAACAGGATCAATTTACCTGGGCCTTGTTTAGATGCCATCCAAATTCTAAGTTTTTTCACTCTCTCTCCATCACATTAATTTTTAGCCGCTTGTATGGAGTATTAAATATAGGTAAAAAAAATAACTAATTACACAGTTTAGTTGGAAATCACGAGATGAATCTTTTGAGCCTAGTTGGTCCACAATTAGACAATATTTGCCAAATAAAACGAAAATGGTACTATTTATCGGATTTAAAAAATTTGTAAAGTGAACGAGGCCCTGGTTACCCCCTTTGGCTGGTTGCCTGGTTCGGCACACCCGCGGTCCGCGCACGAGGGAAAGGGCGGACCGGGCCAGACTCCACTTCGGTCGCCACCTCGCCCACCTCACACCACACCCCCACTGCCCCCACAACACGGCACACCGCGTCGGCCAACAGCATGTCACCACGTGCCCCGTCCCCAGGCATGGTCCCACGCACCGGATCCCCCACCTCGCTCGCGCGTATCGCCGACGACAGAGACGAGCGAGCCTAGGCGCAGCGCAGACGCGCAGTGGCCACTCGCCCACCGACGCCCTGGCGGAAAGTCCCTGCCCCGCGCCGGGTCACAAGGCACAGACATTCCGGGCCCACCCTCTTGTCCCCACCATGTCAGTGGTGCGCGCCGGTTTGATAAAGCTTCCTCGTGACTTCCCCTCTCGCTTTTCTCTGGGGCCCACAAGATGGAAGGAGACCCCACGAGGCAGCAATGATATGATATCCCCTCGGGCCCGCTCGCCAGTCACCCGCGTGTGAGAGAGAAGAGAGATTTCCGTGTGAGAGAGAAGAGATTTCCGCTCTCCTCTCTCTCTCTCTCTCTCTCTCTCTGACTCGCCCGCTCCTGTTCGCCGCTCCGCCATCGCCGGCGACGCTGCGTCTCCGGCGACCCCACCGACGCCGGGCCCCGCACCCCATTCCTCCGATCGCCGCCTCACGCCTTGCGCTCCGCCCCCGGCGAGGGTCCGTGCTCCTGCCCAGATCCGCCCCGCCTGCTCGCGCCCTTGTCCGCGCTTGCCGATCGGCAGGCGGCGTAGGCGCCGCCGCTGCTGCGCGAGTGAGCGAGCGAGCGAGCGGCGGATCCGTCGATCCGCGCGCCCGCCCGCGCCCGCCATGGACGACTTCCAGGGCCTGCTGGCCCGCGACTTCGGCCTCCGCCCGCAGGGGAAGGCCGCGCCCATGTCGGCCGCGCGCACCTCGGGGCCCTCCGGATCCGCCTGGACCAATACCAGATCCGCCGCGGGGTCCGCCTCCGCGGCCGCCGCCCCGTCCGCGCCCTCCTACGACGAGCTCTTCGGGTCCGCCCCGCCGCAGCCGCCCAAGGCCACGCCGTCGCCGTCGCTCGACAACATCTTCGACTCGTTCAAGGACCCCGCCGCTTCCACCGCGCCGCCGCCGCCGAAGCCGAAGCACTCGTCCATGCCGGTGTTCGACAAGCCGGTCTACGACGACGACATCTTCGTCGGGGTCCCTGGGGTTAAGAGCTCCTCGGCGCGCTACGACGATGTGTTCGGGGGAAGCCAGAGCCAGAGCCGCGAGGCGCCTCCGGCGTTCGATGACCTGCTCGGTGGATTTGGTAAGAGCCCACAGACGAGGGAAGAGGTCGATGAGAAGAGGAAGCCAGAGGCAGCTGCGGCGGCTACTGGGTTCGATTATTTGATGCCAGGCTTTGGCGGGAGAAGCTCCCCGCACCAAAGGTGACTACTTTCTTTTATGCATTTCAATTCAATGTGCATGGGACTGATAGACGTTATGTTGTCCATATGCGTGGTCTAGTAGGATTGGATATACGAATAACTTTGTTAGTTTGATCAATTGAACCGGAAGATTTTGTCGGTAACTATAGGATCATGTGGCTGTTGATCGAGTTGGACCAATTATGCTGGCTCATTTGTTGGATGTTTTGACAATTAGATTATGGCCTCCTGATGTCCTATGTTCGATTTGGTAATCCATACCAGTTAGTAAAGCATTTATGATGTACGTTAATACATAGAGCTTTACGCCGCAAAAAATATCAGTTTCCCTCGGTTACGATATGCATTTAATATTTATCCTATTTTGCAAATTAATAACGTACTAGATTATGATGGCCTTGACTTCATGTTTATCTAAATAACTTAGTGATGTAATGCTTGCAAATATATCCTCCATTTTCCCAAGTCAATGCATATAATAAAAGGATTATTCATATCGTTTTCCATGCACTTTCTCAGAAAATCCTTTTGCGCTGTTGGTGTTGGTTTCCTGGACCTTTACTGGTATATAATGTATGTTAGGTTTAATTTAGGTATTTTGTGTTAATTCTAGTACATATGAGGTCATCCACAAATTTGATTGAGAATGTACCATTCTTTTGTGATATCCATGTTTCAATGTGTTTGTAGTGTATGATAGATCTGCCTATTTTTTAGGTAGCGTGCCAAAAGGTTTGCAGAATTTTGATTAACTTGAGATTGTAGTTGATGTTATTGTTGGTGGAGCCCTGATGAATTGGTTCCATGGGTTTGTGCTTTTTGTGTGCCAGTTGAGATGGATTATGTAAAAAAATTATGTTTCTTAATGGATTTAAAACTGAAGTTGAACTGTGAGTAGATTACTAGATTTAAATATTGCTTCCAGGCTTGATAAATATGCACAGTGTTGCTGGAGTGCTAGATATCTGTAAGTTTAGACACTATGGGTATCATTGTTAGCTTACGATGAGAATTGTTATCGAATATCAAGTTTGCTTTGAGTTAAGTGCATTTAATTATAATAAATTTCTGAGCCCTGTACAATATTCCTTAAAGATTGCAATTACCAACCTTCTTGAGGAAAGCTATTGCTTACGTACAAAATTTAAGATCAGACCATATAAACCACTAGACATATTTACCTGTAACAATGAGTTTTATCATATACGGCTCATGTAATGAAGTATTTTAGTTGTAATTTGCTTCGAAGTTTCTGTTCCAATTTGTTTAGTTTCATCTTAGTTAAGTCACACATCCAATTGAGGCGTTGTGCTGGACATCTGTGGCCCATATGTTCTTAAACAATTTAACTCTTTGTTTCTTAATCAACAATTTCTTGAAAAGAGTCACCAATTATTTGGAGTGGGTTCGAGCGCTCCATAGTGACTAAGTTTGTTTTATTATGATGTATTTTGACATTTGAGTATCAGACATGCTTAGGAACAACTCATTTGAATTTATGGGCTAACTGGTTATCTAGTGCGTTTGGGAAAATAATAATTTGCTGTTTAACGACAAGGATTGCCCTTTTGTGCAATTTCATGCACTTCTAAACATGTTCAGTTGTTCACATATTAACATGTCTATTTATTAACTTCAGGGATACTGTTGGTGCAAAACAAAAGAAGGTTTCCATGTCAACATCTAAGCAACCAGCTAGCTTAAGTGACCCCTTTGTTGTCCTCGAAACAACTTCATCCTCAGCCCATCCATTCGCAGATCCCTTGGATGAATTCGGTAAAGCTGCAAAATATCAAGGGAAAAGTCGTGAAAGTACTAGCGTTGGGAGCAGTCTGTTTGAGGATTCAAGCACTTTCAACCAGGCTCCAAAATCCGAACGTTTTTTTACCTCAGAGGTGGACAATCGCTCGAAGGATAGGAATGAGTCAAGCAGAGCCCGAGACTCAAATCCTGTACAGAGTTTTTCTAAAAGGAACTCCTCCCAACAACCTTCTGTAGAGGATTTTGAAAATATCTTTCCTAAGTCACAGTCTGCCAGATATTCTGATGTCCATGTTGACATTGGCTCAGAGAAATATAGTGGGAATGGTATAAATGATCAGTCACCTAGATCTGATGAATCCGAAGATGAGATATGGCTTACGGCTTCTGAGATTCCCCTCTTCACACAGCCAACTAGTGCCCCGCCACCTTCAAGGCCACCGCCACCTCTTGCAGTTAAGCAAAAACATGGATCAAAATCAAAAAGAAAAGATGATGAACATCTACGGCGGTCTAGGAAAAACATTGATCATCAAAGAAGTTTGTCAAATCAGGCTGGTGTTTCTACAGTAGATGAACTAGAAGATTTTGCCATGGGTAAGTCTCAGAATGTGCATGCTTTTAATGATGAAGAATTTGAGAGAAGTACAGCGGCGGCGGCATCTGCAGCTGCTATGAAAGAGGCCATGGATAAAGCTGAGGCAAAGTTCAAACATGCCAAGGAAGTACGGGAGAGAGAGCGTGATGCGAAGCTTAGAAATAGAGAACAACAGGAACAAGATAATGTAACAAGGTTGTATGCCCAGGATCGTGAGGACAAAGAGAGAAAGGAAAGACTAGAACAAGAAAGAGAGATGAGGCAAAAAGAGGAAAATGAAAGAGAGCAAAGAAGACTTGAGGGGGAGAGAGAACTTGAGCGACAGAGAGAAAGAGAAAGAGCTAGGCAAGCAGTGGAGAGGGCTACAAAGGAGGCACGGGAAAGAGCAGCTGCTGAAGCTCGTGCAAAAGCAGAGAGGGAGGCACGCCAACGTTCAGAACGTGCTGCTGTGCAAAGAGCCCAACAGGAAGCACGCGAGAGGGCAGCAGTGGAGGCTAAAGAGCGAGCAGAGAGGGCTACTGCAGAAGCAAAGGAAAGGGCTGCTGCTGAAGCTAAGGAGAAAGCTGCTAGTCAAGCCAGGGATAGGGCTGCAGCAGAAAGAGCTGCTGTGGAGAGAGCTCAGCTAGAAGCGAGGAAGAGAGCTGAACGAGCAGCAGTGGAAAGGGCTGCTGCTGAGGCTCGGGAAAGACAGGCTGCTGCGGCGGCGGCTGCAGCTGCAAGAGAAAAAACGAGCAAACCAGATGATCTTGAATCCTTCTTTGGTATGGGTGCCCGAGCTAATAGTGCTCCGAAGCAAAGGGCTCCAACAGTGGTGATTACTCCACCAAAATTTTCATTCCAGTTTTTTATTCGTTGCAATTTCCTCACTGTTGTTTTTCTAATTGTGGAATTATTAGGATTCTATGTTTGATTCTCAAACGCAAAATAGAGGGACTTCCACTTCGACATCAATGAAAAAGGCATCATCAACAGCAAATATTGCTGATGACTTGTCTGCAATATTTGGAGGAGGTACTGATCGTTCGAGAAGTATGGTACTGAATCATTGTCCATAGACACATGTAAGTAACTGTGTGTTTGATTTATTTGTTATTGTAGCTCCTACATCATCAGACGAATTTCAAGAAGTTGATGGGGAGAGCGAAGAAAGAAGACGTGCTAGGTTGGAACGGCATCAAAGAACTCGTGAACGAGCGGTAATGTGCTATAACACTAATTAAAATAGTCATCTCATGTAGCTTTCTAGTACTACAATTTAATATCTAATTATCTATGGATACGTCTATGTTCCTGGATACCTACCCAAACTTGATTGAGACTAAAATGCTCTGTTGTTTTTGTTGTTGATGATGTTTTTGTGGATGCTTCTATGTTCCTGGTTACATTTTGTTTTAAGCATATTTTTTAGGATAAAGAAATTGCAATGCTTATTTTTTATTAGTTTCCTATACTCACAGGCAATGGCTTTGGCTGAGAAGAATGAACGCGACATGCAGCAACAAAGAGAGCAGGCTGAAAGACATGTAAGTACTCTGTTGTAACTCGTAAATACATCTTAAATTCATAATGCTGAAAATCTACATTATCAACATATAATTTGTCCTTTTAAATGCACTTTATTGGCTGCTAGTGACTAGTTTCTCACTTCATTGAGTTTGTTCAAATTGTTTTGTCTGATAATTTCAGAGGCTTGCGGAAACACTGGACTTTGAGATTAAGCGCTGGGCTGCTGGAAAAGAAGGCAATTTGCGTGCATTGCTATCAACTTTACAATATGTGAGTTGAAACTTCTAGATTGAAGCATTTCTCTCATTCATTTTTACCAATTCTGTTCATTATGTGGGCATTACTCTTTAATAGAAACTGGCATTTAGATCTTTAGCTGTCTACTTAAACATATGATTTGCTTTCATCCCGTTTGTGATTTTATACAAATACCATCCATTTCTTACTGTGGACGCATCATGATCACCATATTGTGCCTCTAATCTAAGTTAGGCTATGAGGCTCTTATATAGGCACTCAGATCCACTGGTAGTATTTCCGGCTTCAGGTTTCAAGCAATATTACAGAACATTAACAGAAGTAATGTTTGTCTCTCGAATACCATACGGACTAACTGTTCGATTGTGGGCAATACGTGAAACATGAACTGTGCACGATGTCATTGCTTTAAAGACATAACCTATTTTTAATTTGTGGACATATTTTTAATTAGTTAAAGAAATGTTTGACGACTTTCTGTTTTAATTCGTTTATTCTTTCTGAACAGGTTCTTTGGCCAGAATGTGGATGGCAACCTGTATCCCTCACTGATTTGATCACTGCTGCTGCTGTTAAAAAAGTGTATAGAAAAGCAACATTGTGTATCCATCCTGACAAGGTGCAGCAAAAGGGTGCCAATCTCCAACAGAAATATATCGCTGAGAAGGTTTTTGATCTCCTTAAGGTGTGTATTGCCCTCAAAACATTTGCTGCAGCTTACTGTTTACACACCAACATGATACTATTCTTCGTCCCTGTTTTTTCCTTGGCCCATGCACCATGGTTTCAAGACATTACAAACTAGTTCTCTCTTTTTCTCACATCAAGAGAACATATGAGCTAGGTAGGTATCAGCTGTTTTGCTGAACATGGGGTTTTTTCACATATACAGTTCAGATTCGCTTAATATTTCCAATTATTACATGTGTGGTCCATGGAAACAAAGTTGGGTTGGTGCATGGATAATGGATGATACATTTAAAGTACTGAGCCTTTATAGTTTGATGTGATCTGTGGCACATGGCACAACAGAATGTTTATTGCAACTGTGGTTGTGTCAGCCTGGACCACCATCTGGTGCCTGGGAAGTACCTGATGTGTACTGTTCTGCCTATAGCCAAATCAATGCTAATCCAAGTAATGACCTGTTAGCCTGCTTCATAGTTCATACTATAGTAATTGAAGTTAACGAGAAAAATTAGTCTTAGAATTACAACACCTATCCATTGTATAATTTTAATGCACTGTGTTGATTACTGGAACTTATTCTGTGCACTGTTTATTTTATTTCCGTTTAATGTTACATATGCTTATCTATTGGTTGAAAGGGTGCTGGGTAACATATATGTGTTAGGAGTTATTGTTTCTTTGGTTTTCCATTTATAAGTATGTTCATTTTACCAAATTGTTAGATAATAACTGAAAATTCTGGGATGGTAATTCTGTGTTTCTGTAGTTGACATATCCAACTAACTTGAGTAATTCTGCTCCGTGCTTAAATAAAACAGGAGGCGTGGAACAAATTGAACTCTGAAGAGCTCTTCTAAACAGCCTCATGACTGAACATAGCATCACCCCTCAGGGTCTGCACAAGGAAGAAACTCACAAGCCGGAGCGGCTTGAGGATGGTCCGGGGGAAACCATGAGGCGACCAAGCGAAACCTGAGCTATGGTTGTAATCACCGTTGTTTGTTTCACTCCCCCAATTTTCTTTCCCAATTGTATGTTGATTCAATGACAACTCACAGCGACATGTGGCAGCTGCCCAAGCTGGACCTCATCCAGTAGGTGTACACTAGTGCCCTGTTTTGTACTATTTATCCTGGGCTGTATGTACCGTCAGAGAGGCGGCTTGTTAGGCCAGTGTTGTGATTTTGGAGGTATAGGGTTTATTTACAACATGGAGAGCCGGTTTACTTGATAATGGTGAATGCTACTTGTCTGATGCCATGGGCATCGTGGCAAGTTCGGTTGTCTTGTTTATAGTCGATTTCTGGAACTGGAACATCAGTTGACCTATACTCTGATTCTTGTTTTATTTTTGTACATAGTTGCTATTCAGTTTTGATTGCTTGTATTGTAATCATATTTGGACGTTTCTGGGTTCAATGAGGAATAGTTATGGATCAGTAAGTACGTTAACAATCAACATTTTCATTTCGTAGGATTACACAAGATCAAGCAACTAACCCTATATTTGGGTTCAGTAATCAGGGTACCCATTTCTTTTTTTTTTCTTTTTTTTCTTTTTGTAGAAACACAGTGGGACAATATCCTGCCTTAAACACGAACTCTTCCCTTCACTCTTAATCTATCCCATTCCCTCACTTTCCTTTTCAACAGTTTGTTGTCACCACCGAAACCTACAATTAAGATGTTGGTTGAATCATCTAGAGCGTAAGGCGTTGGTTGGAATCATCTCGAGCTCGTGGACTATGATATTTAAAGCTCTAATTGAACCAAAGCATGTCAAATTTTACAACAGATTGTATAATCTAACTACTAAGATTGTAATAATCTCACATTCCAAGCATATTATCAGTCATCGCCCCTAGAACTCCTTAGTCATTTAGAAGAAAAGGCCAACCTAGCAAAATAAATGACCTCTTTTATCTGTTTGCCTCTTCTTCACAAAGGTTGAGCATGAGATGTTTCATGTTTGTGAGCACATGGGGCAAGGAAAACGCATTGCACAAAGAAGGATGAGGAACCTCTAAATATTTCATGGAGACATGATTTGATTGGACCTAAATTAGTAGCCTGGAATAAACTTCTTCCTCGCATTGTTAATATCAGGCTTTCACAAGAGCACGACGTGTTTCATTGGAACTTAGATCATAGGTTCAGCGGTGAAATCACATCATTCGACTTTGATTCACTTAGAGGTTCCTAACTTAAACAAAACCATCTAGATTTTAAAGGCTCCTTTGAAGACAAAATCTTTTTTCTTTGGTATTTTAACAGAGGAGTGATTCTATCAAAGGATAACTTAGGCAAACACAATTGGAAGGCAGTCAAAAAGTGTTGTTTTTTTGCCACAAAAGTAAGACAATTAAACACCTCTTCTTTGAATGTTGTTTTGTCCGTGTTGTTTGCGGCCGTATATATGTTGCTTTAACCTTCCTTAACCCCATAGTAGTTCTCATATGTTTGGGAGTTGGCTTTGGTTTGGCAGTGATTTAAAACCTTTAGTTTTGCTAGGGCGGCAACTACTTGTTGGTCGCTTTGGTGTACATAAATGATTTGGTGTTCTCAAAGAAGTTACATTTTATCTTAATTTACCTTTTCACTACATATATCATCCATCCATCAAAAGTATTGTTCCATTTATCCGTCGATCCATCCATTAATTCATTCATTCATCTAGCATCGGATTGATGCATCCATCAATTCATTGATTCCTTCATCTTGCATCGATCCATGCATCCATTGAGTAGGAGAAGCAGAAAACTTACCTTGGATTCAGAGAAAGCCACTAGCTTAGCGGTGAGGTGGGAGACCAGCTATGGGTTACAAGAGGCAGGACACTAGTTATGGGACAAGGAAGAAAGAGCTGGGTCCTGTGAGTTAGGTGAGCCGTGACGGAGGCGACACTAGGGCATTAGTTAGGAGGAGACCCCATAGGTTAGGGAAGAGGAGGCCAGCGGTGGCAGTGCTAGGCAATGTGGTGTTGCTTTGGATAAGGTTCTATACTTGGACAATCTCAAAATGGAAGAGGTGAGTGGATAAGATTCCTTGATATAGGGCAAAGTCATCAAAAGTGACAACCGAATGCCAAAACCTATCATTTTGAGGTTGTAAAACATGCTAATATGATACTAGTATTCCTTGCGTTAAACTTGATCAAGAAGAATCGTCACTTTAACATAGGGAAAACGACCATTTTCATTAGGAACCATATTAAAATCTCTTGCATTTTTTAGAAAAGAGGTTTTATTTAATTACTTTCTCAATTGCTAGATCTAAGCTAACCAATCAAGATCTGATGGTTCTCATATCATCTTCAACCTCTAATTGTTAACTAATCATATTGCAATTGCAACAACATAAACGCTAGGTTAATGAACAAAATGAATTAGACATAATTGTCATTAACTTGTCCGGTTTTATCCTACCTTCAATTGACAAAACTAGATTCTCCAATAGAAACATTGAAGACTTGACCCAACTTTACTGAAGGTGTACTGTTTAAGTTTTATTTTTCTTAATCTCTTATTTGGGCTAAAATAAATTCGGACATGCTAGCGCCCGGACATCAGGACGCACGCGCGCGTCCGGACGCCCGTGCCTACTGGTCCATTTCCTCACATCCCGTTTCCCGTGGCTACTCGCTTTGCGCGCCTAGGCGGGGCCCATGCCGCTCGGACGTCTTCTTAGAGTTTTGCGCGCCTAGGCGGGGCCCGCGCCGCTCGAACGTCTCCCGTGCCAACCGACCTCACGCGGGGGCCCGCTCGTCGACGCCCCAGCAGCTGCGGTAGGTGGGTCCCATTTAACATGTGCAACATCCGATCTATTTTTACAACATCTAGATGAAACACTTGCAACATACATTCGAAACAGCTGAAACACTTGCAACATACGTTGAAATACTTGCAAAACACCAAAAAAAACTTGAAAAGCATGTGTGTAGCCATTGCAAAACATTGCAACATTTAGATGAAAACACTTGCAGCATACATATGAAAACAACTGAAACACTTGCATACATATATGCAACATCCAGATCTACTTTTGCAATATCTCGATCTACTTTTACAACATCCAGATGAAACACTTGCAACTTACATCTGAAACAAATGAAACATTAGGAACATACACTTGAAACATACGTGTATAGTCATTGCAACATGTGCAACATCTCAATCTACTTTTGCAACATTCACATGAAACACTTGCAACGTACCTCTGAAACATCTAAAACATTTGCAATATGCGACATATCCTGATGTGGCCTCCTCCGCCATCTACAACAGGGCATCTGTAACACCTCTGGTGTTATAAGCTTGCTTAGCTCTGAGGTTAAGGTCTCGGGTGGGTTTAGCAAAACAAGTTTTCAGGCTAACAAGTTAAAATGCATATGAAAGGAAAAATAAATTCTGCAAATGAAAACAAAATACGACTGGTGTATAGCGCTTAGGTAGAAATGATGAGCAAATGGGGTAGATAACCTTTTGTAACTTTAGATGGTCGATATAAAAAAATGTGTGTTGGATGTATGGATGAAAACAGTACGGATATTTATTCGACCGTCCGTTCGACCGAACAAATATGAACACTTATCTGGATAGTTACTCGGATATCCGTTTTTTTCGGATACGGATACTAAAACGGATATCTTAGGCGGATATCAAATACGGATGTAATATCATCGATATCCGGCGGATATCGGATAATCCGGATAAGTATCGGATATATCCGGATATTTAAAAACGGATATTATCCGGATATTTATTCAAAATTTAAAAATCACAAATTTGAACCATCCAAACTATCTCAAATGGAAAGTTGACCAAAACAACAATTGTAGATCTTGATGAGTTGAACAAACTTGGTATTCAAAACTTTTCAATTTGAAGTCATTTCGAGTTCATAATACTAGAGTCAAAGTGTTGTTTTTTCATTTGACCAAATTTGACTTGGTCAAACTTGCTCAAATGAGACACTAAATGACCTCAGATGAAAAAACTCTGAATACCAAGTTTGATCATCTCAGCAAGATCTACAATTGTTACATAGCTCATTTTCCCATTTGAGAAAGTTTTATCAAACACTAGTCATAAATTCTTGAATCTCATATAGACTTTCTGAAACTATGTCACACACTTGTGAAATTTGAACTATATTTTATTTAAACTTTCTCAAATGAAAAAATGGCCTATATAAGGATTGTATATCTTGATGAGATGAACAAATTTGGTATTCAAAACTTTTCAATTTGAGACAATCTAGGGTTCCGAAAACTAGTTTGTAAACGTTGAAATTTAAAAATCACAAATTTAAACCGTCCAAACTATCTCAAATGGAAAGTTGACCAAAACAAAAATTGTAGATCTTGATGAGTTGAACAAACTTGGTATTCAAAACTTTTCAATTTGAAGTCATTTAGAGTTCATAATACTAGAGTCAAAGTGTTGTTTTTTCATTTGACCAAATTTGACTTGGTCAAACTTGCTCAAATGAGACACTAAATGACCTCAGATGA